GGCTGGGAGAGAAGAGGAAGGAAAGGAAGGAAGGAAGGAAGGAAGGAAGGAAGGAAGGAAGGAAGGAAGGAAGGAAGGAAAGAAGGAAGGAAGAAAGGAAGGAAGGGAGGAGGGTAAAGAGGAGGAGGAGGCGGAGGGTAAAGAGGAGGAGGAGGAGAGGAGGGTTGGGGGTGGGGGGGGGTTAAGGTAAACTGAACCCTAAGGCGTCGGGCAATAAGACCTAAGATGGCTTGCCTCCCTCCAACCCTCCTCCTTAACCTTATTTATTGAGTCTTATATTAGATCTTCATTCGGGCCCTGCTGGAGACCAGGAGGACAAACTGGGGGAGAAGAGGGGAGGGGGAGAAGAGGGAGAGCGGGGGAGAAGAGGAGGGGAAGAGGGGAGGGGGAAGGAGAGACGAAGGGAGGGGGAGAAGAGGAGAGAGGGGAGGACAAACTGGGGAGAAGATGGGAGAGGGGAGGGAAAAAGAGGGGAACGGGAGAAGAGGGGAGGGGGAAGAGGGGAGGGGGAAAGAGGGGGGAAGAGGAGATGGGAGAAGAGGGGAGGGGAAGAGGGGAGAGGGGAGAAGAGGAGAGAGGGGAGGACAAACTGGGGAGAAGATGGGAGGAGGGAGAAATGAGGGGAGAAGAGGAAGGAGGACAAACTGAGGAAAATAGAGGATAGGGGAGAAATGGGGAGAGGAGGAAGACAAACTGGGGAAGAAGAGGAAGAAGAGGAGAAGGAAGACAAACTGGGGAGAAGGGGGAAGGGAGAAGAGGAAGGAGGATAAACTGGGGAAGGGGGGAGAGTGGGAGGAAAGGAGGGAGAGAAAAAAGAGGAGATATAAATAAAGAGTATAGAATAAGGGGGAAGAAAGGAGGAGGAGAGGAAATAAAGAGAGGGAAAGGGAAGACATAAGATACTAAGTGGGAAGGAAAACGGAAACAGGAAAGGAGGAAGAGGAAAATAAAAAATGAATAGGACAAAAAAATAGTAGGGAAAGGAAAACAGGAGGAGAAGAAGAAGAAGAAGAAGAAGACAGGGAGGAAGGAGCAAAGGTCGATAAAAGAAGTAGTCGTGTGGGACCAAAATAAACAAGCAAGATAAGATGGACGGCGATAATAGTCGAGGCTATTCTTCCGCTCTACGGGGGGAGGGGGAGGGGGGAGGGGAGGGGGGGGAGGGGGGAGGGGGGAGGAGGAGGAGGTGGGGGGGTAAGAAGTCGACGGTGAAAAACATGAAGAAGAAGAAGAAGAAGAAGAAGAAAGAGGAGGAGATGACGACGAAGAATAAGATATTAAAGGGAACGAAAAGGGATGGGGAGAGATAAAAGATGAGAAGTAGAGGAAGGAGGGAAGAGAGAGAGAAGGAAGAGAGAGTGGGAAGGAAGGGGGAGAAGGTGAAGAAAATGAGAAGGAAGGAGGATGAGAAGTCAGAATAATGTGTGAGAGGGGTAGGGTGTGGGAGGGACGGAAGTGGGAAGGCGGTAAGGAAAGGAAGGGAGGGAGGAAGGGAGGGAGGAGGGGCGGGAGTTACGTGATTCCCCTATTTATACATTCGGTCGCTGGAAGAGGTGGAGGTGGTGTGTGTGTGTGTGTGGTTAAGTGTATATATGGGATTATCTAGCAACGTCTATGCATCTATTAGAAGGATTAAAACGAGTCCTATTTAACGATCCTACTACCTTAAGCTCAACGAAATAGCAGTTATATAAACAAAATCAACCTTTAAATTCTCTACTTATCTTGTATTAGGGGTGTTCATTTGGCGTCTGTTATTCCACACTTCGTTAAAATTTCCCTCCTCCTCACTCTCTAAAAAAAGAGAGAGAGAAATTGACTAACACGGCTGGCTTAATGAGGCTCGGATTACAGGTGGTTTATTGAACAGCAGCCAAGCACCGCCGTGTTAGAGGGTAAATTGATGAACATATGAACACCAGTCGCCCTGAGAGAGAGAGAGAGAGAGAGAGAGAGAGAGAGAGAGAGAGAGAGAGAGAGAGAGAGAGAGAGAGAGAGAGAGAGAGAGAGAGACTATAACAAAACACTACACTATGTAAATCTAAATGTAAAAAAAAAAATACCACTTCTATTTACAAAAACACCTAACGATTTACACATTAAAAATATTCATATTTTTTGTATATTTAATTTTAGTACACATTAAATTATCACTAATACAATTTTATATGGCTAATACCACACACACACACAAGGGTACAGTTTCCCAACCAAGCAATCATACGCTTTTACCATTCATACACCCTACCACACTCACTGACTTTCATTTATCATACACACTCCAACGTATGATAAATAATATTCTTAGACGTATCATACAGCCAGAGCTACAGCCCTCCACCCACTACAAATCACACACTCCACTAGTCACACACAACTCCCCTCAGACGACGAGATAAGGCCCTTGCCCCCACTATCACCCTCCCCTTCCCCCCTACTATCACCCCTCTCCTCCCCCACTCATCACCCCCCCCCCCCACTATCACCCTCTCCTTCCACCCTACCATCACCCCTCTCCTTCCTTCCACCTACCATCACCCCTCTCCCTCCCTACTATCACCCCCTCCCTTCCACCTCACCATCACCCCCTCACCCCCACCCCTCTCCCTCCCCTCCCCATACCATAGGACCGGTCTAAGGGCACGTTGTTTTTCCAGGGTAAATGAAATGCACTTGGGTGAACTAAAGGGGGGACATCTGCGCTAACAATGCCCTACCCTCCCTATACACCCCACCCTCCCTATACCCTGCCCTACTCCTCCCTATACCCCTACCCCACCCTCCCTATGTACCCTACCCCTATCTCCCTACCCTCCCTATTTTACCTTACACCTCCTCCCTCCATTTCCTAGCCTCCCCGAATCCAAGACTAACGTTCATACGACCACCTGGGCAGCTGATGGTGGTGGTGGTGGTGGGGGGGGGAAGGAGATAGGGAGGGAGGAAGGGGAGATAGGGAGGGGGGAAGGGAGGAGAGGAAGGGGAGGAGGTTATTTGGTATCAGTTATGCACGTTTGTAGTTTTTGGTGGTGAGGGGGAAGATGGAGGAGGAAGAGGAAGGAAGGGAAGGGAGGAGAAGAGGATAGAGAGGAAGGGGGGGAGGAAAGAGGGTAAAAGAGAAAATAAAAAGAGGAGGAAGGGAAGGTATTGCAGAGGAGGGGGGGGTGAGAAACTGGGGGTGGGGGGTGAGGGGAGGGGGGAGGCATTGATGAGGAAGAATGATGGGATGGAAAGGAAAGGAAAGGAGAGGAAGAGAATAAGAGTCAAAAGGGGGTTAAGGGGGAGAGAAGGCAAGAAATATTGGAGGGAAAAGTTGACTGAATGAGAGAGAGAGAGAGAGAGAGAGAGAGAGAGAGAGAGAGAGAGAGAGAGAGAAGAAGAAGAGAAGAGGAAACAGGAATAGAAGGAAGGAGAGAAGTAGAAGAGGAAAAAGAAGAGAAAGAAGAGCAGATGAATAGAAATGAAGAAGAAGAAGGAAGGAAAAGAAGCAGCAGAAAAGGAAGAGATGAAAAAGAAGAAGAGTACAGGGTGGAGAGAAGAGGAGTAAAGGAGCAAGAAAAAAGAAGACGAAGAAGAGTAGAGAGGACGAGGAAAAGAAAGGAAGAAGAAAAAGAAGAAGGAAGAAGAAGAGGGAAGAGGGAAGAGGGAAGAGGGAAGAGGGAGAGGGGGCCCACTTCACGCCATACTGTACCCCCCGAACTTAGGTAATTAACATAACACCCAACTTCTCTGTCACCCCCAGGAAACTAAACTCAGCCTCTGACACTTAATATATATATATAGAGAGAGAGAGAGACTGGAATTCTACTATATATTTCTCCATTCTCTAAGTCATTCGTTCATTAGTTTTGCTTCCTTTATCACACTTTTATCTTATTTGTCATTAATCCCAAATCCTTATTACATATCTGCAATAATAAATATGATTAAATTGAATTAATTCGACACATGTTCAAATCTCTCTCTCTCTCTCTCTCTCTCTCTCTCTCTTTCTTTTCTCTATTCTTCTCCCTTCTCATTTTCATCCACTTTTGTTCATCTTCTTCCCTTATATTATTCTTCCTTATTCTTACCCCTTTCTTCCTCATTTTCTTCATTTTTTCTCTCCCCCTCTTCTTCTTCCCTCTCCTTTCTTCTTCCCTCCCTCTTCTTTCTTCTTTCCCTCTCCACCTCCTCCTCTTCTCTCCCACACCGCCTATACAATACGTTAATACAGAACAAGTTAGGTGTTCAATTAGTGAGCCACATGAGGCTGCTGCCACCCCTACAGGTATCATCTTTCCTCCTGAAGGCAACGTGGCTGTGAGAGGCTGAGGGGTGGCTGTGAGAGGCTGAGGGGTGGCTGGTGAGAGGCTGAGGGGTGGCTGTGAGAGACTGGGTGGCTGTGAGAGGCTGAGGGGTGGCTGTGTGAGAGACTGGAGGGGTGGCTGTGAGAGACTGGGTGGCTGTGAAAGACTGAGGGTGGCTGTGAGAGACTGAGGGGTGGCTGTGAGAGACTGGAGGGGTGGCTGTGAGAGGCTGGGTGGCTGTGGAGAGGCTGAGGGGTGGCTGTGAGAGACTGAGGGGTGGCTGTGGGAGGCTGGGTGGCTGTGAGAGACTGGGTGGCTGTGAGAGGCTGAGGGGTGGCTGTGAGAGGCTGGGTGGCTGTGAGAGGCTGAGGGGTGGCTGTGAGAGACTGGGTGGCTGTGGAGAGACTGAGGGGTGGCTGTGAGAGGCTGGGTGGCTGTGAGAGGCTGGGTGGCTGGAGAGACTGAGGGGTGGCTGTGAGAGGCTGGGTGGCTGTGAGAGGCTGGGTGGCTGTGGGAGGCTGGGTGGCTGTGAGAGACTGAGGGGCTGTGAGAGACTGAGGGGAGGCTGGGGAGACTGGAGGGGTGGCTGTGAGAGACTGGGGTGGCTGTGAGAGACTGGGTGGTTGTGAGAGGCTGGGTGGCTGTGAGAGACTGGGTGGCTGTGAGAGACTGAGGGGGTGGCTGTGGAGGACTGGGTGGTGTGTGAGAGATCTGAGGGGTGGCTGTGAGAGGCTGAGGGGTGGCTGTGAGAGGCTGGGTGGCTGTAGAGACTGAGGGGTGGCTGTGAGAGACTGGGTGGTTGTGGAGAGGCTGGGTGGTTGTGAGAGACTGGGTGGCTGTGAGAGACTGGGTGGCTGTGGATAGGCTGGGTGGCTGAGAGACTGAGGGGTGGCTGTGAGAGACTGAGGGGGTGGCTGTGAGAGACTGGGTGGTTGTGAGAGACTGGGTGGCTGTGGAGAGACTGGGTGGCTGTGAGAGACTGGGTGGCTGTGGGAGAGGCTTGGTGGCTGTGGGAGAGACTGAGGGGTGGCTGTGAGAGACTGAGGGGTGGCTGTGAGAGACTGGGTGGTTGTGAGAGGCTGGGTGGCTGTGAGAGACTGGGTGGCTGTGATAGGCTGGGTGGTTGTGGGAGAGGCTGGGTGGCTGTGAGAGGCTGGGTGGCTGTGAGAGGCTGAGGGTGGCTGTGGAGAGGCTGGGTGGTTGTGAGAGAGCTGAGGGGTGGCTGTGGGAGGCTGGGTGGCTGTGAGAGGCTGGGTGGATGTGAGAGTCTGGGTGGATGTGAGAGACTGGGTGGCTGTGAGAGGCTGAGGGGTGGCTGTGTGAGAGGCTGGGTGGCTGTGAGAGGCTGAGGGGTGGCTGTGAGAGGCTGAGGGGTGGCTGTGAGAGGCTGGGTGGCTGTGAGAAGCTGAGGGGTGGCTGTGAGAGGGCTGAGGGGTGGCTGTGGGTGGCTGGGTGGCTGTGAGAGGCTGGGTGGCTGTGAGAGACTGAGTGGCTGTGAGAGAGACCGGGTGGGTGAAACTGACTGGCTGAGCGACTGAGACTGACTGGCTAGCTTTGAGAGAGACTATCTGGCTAAAAGAGACTGGTTGAGACTGACTGGCTGTGACTGGTTGAGACTGACTGCCTAAGACTGGTTGAGACTGACTGGCTAAGACTGGTAGAAAGACTGGCCACCACCACCAGACGCCTTCCAACAGTCCTAATGTCTAGACGGGTTTTTTTTTTCTTCCCATTAAAACTCCCCATCAGCTGTTCACCCACACTAATGTTATTCATATACGAGGGAAACTTCACTATTATATAACACTGTACCATATAACACCTCTCACTATACAACACCATAAGTATTATATAACACCTCTCACTATACACCATAAGTATTATATAACACCTCTCACTATACAACACCATAAATAACCCTTGTACAGCACCAGATGGATATAGGAGGAGTTTTTGAAATAATAATAATAATAATTTGATCCAGTCAAGCCCCTTATGCTACTACTATTAACAACTATTACTATTACCACCACGACTACTACTACTACTATTACTACTGAGCCATACAGTAGATGCCGTACAGTAGACGGATTATTATTACATGTTACACAACTGTCTATTTCACACACACAGTTCTGGTCAGTGATGGTTTACGAAGGAGGGGCATCTGTCTACCCGAGGGAGAGACGGGAGACGGAGGGAGAATGAGGGGAAGAGAGGGAGAATGAAGGAGAGAGAGGGGAGACGGGGAATGAGGGGACGAGGAGAAAGAGAGGGGGGATTGAGGGATGGTGGAGGAGTGAGGGGGAAGATAAGGAGGAAAGGAAGGGTATAAGGGGAGGGGTGAGGTGATGTGAGGGGTGAGGGAAGGGTGTTAAGGGGAAAGGAAAGGGGAAGATGTGAAGTGTGAGAAGGAGGAAGAGGGTGATAAGGTGGGAGGGGTGGGTGGAAAAGGGACGGTAAAAGAGGTAAAATAGGGAGTGAAAAGGGGGAGGGGGGAGAGTGAGGGGTGAAAAAGGGGAAGGGGGAGAGTGAGGGGTGAGGTGAGGAACGATGCAACTAAGCTAAACCCAGCAGGCGTGAACAATGGAGAAGCACATGCAGTATTTAACAGGGGAGGGGAGGGGGGACTGACAGGGTGTCCTCATTCTCCCCACCCTCACCCCTGACGGACGGCTCTGTAACATCCACGCCAGTGAGGGGAGAGGGATGAGGGGGTGAGGGGAGAGGGATGAGGGAAGGAGAGGGATGAGGGAGGTGGAGAGGGAAGGGAGAGAAAGATGAGAGGGAGGAGACAGCTGGAAGGGGTGAGAGAGAGAAAGTGGAGAGGGAGAAAAGAGGGAAAGGATAGGGTGAAGGAGAGTGGTTAAGGGAGAGGGATGAGGATAGGAGAGAGAGAGGAAAGAGGGACGGTTAGGCTAGTGTGTGGTCATTACATAATACAGTATTATATCAGGAAAAAAACTAATCGGATGACTTGAGACCAAATTACAATGACTGGTTACCGCAACAGACTCTTCGGGGAGGGGGGGGAGGGGGGGCAGAGGGAGGGGGCAGAGGGAGGGGGCAGAGGGAGGGGAAGGGGGAGGAGGAGGGGCAGGAGGAGGAGGAAGGGGAGGAGGAGGGGCAGGAGGAGGAGGTGCAAGGGGCAGAAGGAGGAGGAGGCAGGGAGGAGGAGGGGGCAGGAGGAGGAGGGGCAGGAGGGGGGGAGGGGAAGGGGGAGGAGGGGAAGGGGTGGAAGGTAGGGCCACTAAGCCTTGGTATAGTGACTGTTAAGAGGGACGTCTGTTGAGGTGTATTACCAGGTGAGGCAACAAGGAGGTGCTGAAGACGCCATTACCCCTACTGCTAGAGGTCTTGATCCTGTTCCTGCTCCCACGGCACGCGCGCGTGGGGGGGGTGAAGAAGGGAATGAGTGGGTGGATAGGGTAAGGAGTGAAGGAGCTGGTGGTGGAGTGTGTGTGTGTGTGTGTGTGTGTGTGTGTGTGTGTGTAGATGTTTTGGGTTAGGTTAGGTTAACTGTCACATGAGCCGAATATAGGTTTAATCTTGTATCCATCAGGCAGACTCTCTCTCACTTACTAGTCAACAACAGGTAAGCATCTCTCCTCAGGTAAATCAGCTGTCGCAGTCTGTAAAAGAGACAAAAATCAGTCGTTAGTTTAGAAGGACAAGACAAACAGACAGTAAATAAAGGTGAGAATAATGTCACATAATATACGAAATGGTGCTCTCTCTCTCTCTCCCTCACCACCTCCACGCTGCCTCATTACTGCCTCCTCCTCCTCCTCCTCCTAATCCCTCTCACGTGTTGCCTCTCACGCCCACACTCACCTATGAATCAGCTGGGCGTGATACCTAGAATCGACGAGAGACTTACCACGTGATTCGGTCTCTCTCTCTCTCTCTCTCTCTCTCTCTCTCTCCCTCGATACCTTCTTGATCTTGAGAGACATTGGGTGGGGGAGGAGACATGGGGGTGAGTGAGACATGGGGGTTGGAGTGAGACATGGGAGAGGGAGTGAGAGACATTTGGGAGAGAATTTTGTGAGACTTGATATGTTGGTATGTCTGGCGCTTTGGAGAGAGAGAGAGAGAGAGAGAGAGAGAGAGAGAGAGAGAGAGAGAGAGAGAGAGAGAGGTAAATAAGAGACACAGGGACGTTGATAATAAGAGACGAACGGATAGATAAGGGAGAGTCTCTATCCAGTTATTGACACAGTGACTATCTCAAAACTTATCTCATCTATAGGCGTATCTCTCTCTCTCTATCTCCTATTCTTTATCATCCTCTTCCCCATTCCTCCTTCCTTCACCTCCCTATTCCTCCTGTCCCCTTTACCTCCCATCTTCCTCCTCCTCTCCCCTTCTTATTTTATCCATCCCCTTCCTTTTATTTCTTCCTCCCTTCTTCTTCTCCCATTCCTCCAATTGTTATCACCTCCTCTCCCTCCCCTTACTGTTCATACAAGGAGTGTTATCAGTCTATCTACAGAGAGGGGAGGGGAGGGAGGGGAGGGGAGGGAGGGGGAGGAGGGAGGGGAGAGGAGGGGGGGGTCCCTCAGTAGGCCACATACAATAACCTTCACCAGAACCTGTGTCCCTCCCTTATCACCCTTCACCCTTATCACAGTCGCCAGCCAGGGTGTCTCTCCCTCTCTCCCTCTCACATCTCTGTTTGTCTTCCCCATCCCCCCACCACCCACTACCCTCCCTCACCACTCCACCTCTCATCTCCCCACCACCCACCTCTCATCCTCACCACTCCACCACCATCCCTCTCACCTACCATGTCTTTACCTCACATCCTTATAACTATCCACTATACTGTCCATTATCATTAAACTGTCCAGCATATTGTCCGTTCTCCTAAAACTGTCCACTATACTGTTCGCTATCCTTAAAACTGTCCACTAATCTTAAAACTATCCACTATTCTGTCCGCTATCATTAAAACTGTCCAGTATATTGTCCGTTCTCCTAAAACTGTCCACTATACTGTCCGCTAACATTAAAACTGTCCACTATACTGTCCGCTATCCTTCACTGTCCACTATACTGAAAACTATCCACTATACTAACCGCTATGCTTAAAACTGTCCAGAATACTGTCCGCTAATCTTAAAACTATCCACTATACTGTCCGCTATCCTTAAAAACTTTCCACTATACTGTCCGCTGTCCTTAAAACTGTCCACCATACTGTCCGCTAATCTTAAACCACCCACTATACTGTCCGCTATCCTTAAAACTATCCACTATGTTGTCCGCTGTCCTTAAAACTGTCCAGAATACTGTCCGCTAATCTTAAAACTATCCACTATACTGTCCGCTATTCTTAAAACTATCCATTATACCTTCCGCTGTCCTTAAAACTGTCCAGAATACTGTCCGCTAATCTTAAAACTATCCACTACACTGTCCGCTATCCTTAAAAATGTCCACTATACTGTCCGCTATGCTTAAGACTATCCACTATACTGTCCGCTATCCTTAAAACTTTCCACTATACTGTCCGCTGTCCTTAAAACTGTCCACCATACTGTCCGCTAATCTTAAAACTATCCACTATACTGTCCGCTATCCTTAAAACTATCCACTATACTGTCCGCTGTCCTTAAAACTGTCCAGAATACTGTCCGCTAATCTTAAAACTATCCACTATACTGTCCGCTAATCTTAAAACTATCCACTATACTGTCCGCTATCCT